CTGCTTCACTGGGTGAATGGGTTAAATGCAGAGGAACTATTTCCCTATGGGGACTAACACGCACACTTAAAAAAAGGATGGCTGGAGGGCAAAGGGCCACTGTACTGCTTTGTCCACCAGGTGGGCGTGTCCCAGTAGCTCTGATATCACATGGAAACTATGGTTTGGACCAAATGTTGTCAATTGCCCCCAGAGGCTTAGTGTTGCAATAATAGGCAGCGGGTTGTCAGACTGTTTAAACAGTGTTGATCACAGAGTACAGCAGTGCACTCACCCACTCTCGGGTTGGCAATCAATTCCTCCATTTCTGCAGTCTTAGTAATCAGTTCATCTTGCTTCTTCTCCAGTTGCATCTGCAGCTCTGTGGGGAAGCAGAGAGAAACAGATATACGACTTGAGGTCATATTTGTTTCACATTTTTCCTCCAGGAAGTGTGCTGACTATGACAGCTGTTACTCACGTGAGATGATTTCTGGATCTTTTGAGTTTGAGATCTGCTCCTTCAAAGCCCTCACTTCAGCCTTCATGTTGATCACATTCAGGACTAACAGAGACAAACGTGAGCAGATATGACGGCACAGATTAGTTCTGAAATATAATGTGAGGATGTGAGCAAAAAAAAAGGAGAGACTTTAACTGCACCGCACTCACGCAGAGCAGTTTTGAAGTCTTTCGTTTTGTTCAGTTCTGCAATCTTATCTTCAACTTCAGTCTTCAGCTCTGATTAAAAAAAAGAAAAAACAGTCATATCAAAAACTCAGGCTCAGACACTTTCAGGTTGAAGTCAGATTTACAACTTACGGTTTCGTTGTTGCTCGAGTCCAGAGCATTCTTGAGTCTTTAATTGCAGTTTTTTCTCCAACTCTGAATCAAAAGAAACAAACAACTAAAATTGGATCTCTGCACAAAACTCTTTGATATGATGGATATATTCAGAAAAAAAACCCCTAATTTGTGTCTTTGTCTTTTTAAAAAAGAGATCTGGAGGACTTACTCAAAACAAATTAAAAGGACTGAAGGCGCCTTTTCCATTAGTCTCTACTGGGATGGGCTCGCCATGACTGAAGGTAATTAAGCTAATGGAAAACTCTGAAAACCGTGGCAAGTTGATCCGAGTAGATACCGGTACTATAAGGGGCTAAAGATTGTTGTAAATTTTTATCTCAAGATATAAAATGCTATATAATGTGAATGTTAGCTTACCATAAAGATTGGAAAGAAGGGGAAACAGCTAGCCTCCCTAAAGCTAACTACATGATTCCTAAAGACAAATTAACATGTTTTACTTTATTTGTTTAATCTA